AAAATTAAAATTGAGCGTATTTTTGGTCTTATTATTTTTTAAAAACATGTAATACCTTACTTATTTATACTTGCTCGGTAAATTGCCTTTCAGTAAAAGTCTAGACATGAACAAGTACAAATCCAACCAACCCTTCGATTCAATGGTTAGCACCGGTTCTTGTTGACCAAATGGCCAGTTTTATGCAATAAATATATAGGTTGACTATATTTAGGTGGATTCTTCGGATGTGTATCGTTTTGTTGTGGATTGTTCAAATATAATAGTCCTCAAAAACTCTATGCTCTGGTTAACACTTAGTTAAGAACCGGAGTACCTGCTAAAATAGCCTTATCCGAGCTTTGAGAACTGCTGGCTGGGTTATATCGGATGTTATCACCACCCAGTATGTCACAAGTAATGCTAATCTATTATTGGTAGTTCAGAGTAATTGTGTATTGAATGAGGCGGTTGTTGTGTCACGAGTCTTATAACAATACAAATTCTAATGAGCCATTCATTAACGTAATAGGACGCTGGTTTCTTGAAAAATAAGTGCTTATATTTACGATATACAAGTAATTTTCAAAACATGGTTATCCTGGCAAATTCGCAATAACCGTTATGCTGACTGCTATGAAAAATAACTTCGGGTTGAAAAAGTCTTGCCGGCAATCTGTTCGAGTAGCATGACTCACTACATTACTTTTCGAACTGGTAAATCTCTAACCATCTATTGACCTAATCCCTTTCACCCTTTAGTAAATTTCGAAGTCGTGCTGATACATGATGTCAACCAAACTGTAAACCTTTCACTCATCCTGCTTACGGTGTAATTAGAAGTCTGAAGAACAAATCGGGATTTTTTGGGATAAGTGCATCTTAAAGTGGGAGCCTGCTTCTAACAGTTATAATTTAGTCGTAATTTGTGACACCACTTTATTGGTATAAATGTCATATCTTATATCAGTAACGGAGTTTTCGATCCTTCATTTCAGCCGTCTAGTTATATCAACGGTGTCTAGTATAGCAAAAATTAATGCTAAACTAACCTATGAATCGCCACGCTTCGTACGTTAAAGTGCAATACAAACCTCCGATGTTGATGATTATCCCATAATATTTATTTGGTTACACTCTGCTAATATGCGTTTTCTTATCATTATCTGTCGCCAAGTGCTTCTTCGTTGTGATTCCACATTAAGTCATAAGGGTGTCTGGTCGAAGGACTAGTTACAATGATTACTTCCTGTGGGACTAGGTCGCACTAGCTCCAATTTAAGCAGTGACAAAAACTCGAGTTCGCAAATCTGTAACGTCTCGACCTTCTCATAGATTTTTACTGATTGCCCTTGATCACTTATCATGAGAAGTAATATTCGCTCATTTTAATAGTTTAATTAAACATGTGGTTGACGATATAGACCGGTGGTACTGACAACTGTTTACTAGTCAATTAGTAATAACAGTAATGGCTTGTAGTAGATGTTTCAACAATTGTAGGTTGATGGTTTTAAACGCACACAAAAATACTATACTCGAGAGTCACAATCAAGACACTTTTTGCAAATATTTACTAAGGACACTCAGTAATTCGCCGGTCATCCGATGTGCAGACCGCAAGAAGTACGTTTATTTACCTGTCGCAATCTCTCCACCTTCAATGCTAATTAGATACTGTACCACAGAAATCTGTCTTGTCAATTGTATTTATACGAAGGAAAAGTAAGTTCGGTTCCAACTTTGAAATTCCAGACGTATTTACGCAGTAGCACTACTCTCGTCCTTTTTTACTGTTTCGTTTTAGAACGTTTTAAAACTTAATTCTCTATCAAAAATGACTTATCATGAAATGTACAGAAGCACTACACTGGGGACTACCCTTCGTGAAGCCCTAGATGAAATGCTAGCACATAATCTACTACAGCCTGGAATGGACCACAAGGTAACTTAGTCCATATGACACTATGGTTAAATGTAACCTTCTTAGGTTATGCAGAAGTTCGACCAATGTATAAGTAATGCTTTGGCAAAACGTGTTAAAAACCGTCTTTCGCTTCGTGGTCACCTGAACACTTACAGGAACTGTGACAATGTATGGACGTTAGTGATGAATGATGTGGAAATAAAAGATTCCTCTGCTATTATGACAGTTGATAAGGTAAGCCTAGATTGTAAGACTTAATTATGTTCTTGAGGGTAAGCGTATGCAATATTCTTAAAGTACTCGACACTCATCAATATAAGGTTTCGGTTTAATATTCTACGACCATTAAGTAACTCCAGCGACCGAGCCAGAGCTGATTAGCTTCTCTATTGACTATATTAAATGGTTTCTTACGATTAGCCATCATGTTTTTTTAAAAATTTCTAATGAATGCGCTGGAAATGACACTTTTCAAATAATATAAGGGATGGTTTAAAATATTTTTCTCTCAGCTATACTACGATAATACGTTAATATGATAATCAAACTATTAACGTTATATCAAATCCAGGATTCACGACCCAGAATAGAGAACCATATTAACAATAGATAATGCTTTGTTCGTCACAATTGCAAGCAGTGGCACTCAGTAAGTCCGGAGTAGAATTCAATTTTCAGTAGGCTAGTTGCCTGTTTGTCTATGCTCAACGACCAATTATATTTCACTTCCACTACCACATATCGTATAATTTTCCGCGAATCGATCACCGTCTTTGACAACTTGCAGTACATAAACGAGTTTTATTTGGCAAACATGGTGGAAAAAATAATCTTTCGACCACCGTAATACACTGATAACTACGACGTTTATCCTTCCCCTTCAGTCTGAAGTGTTGCTTCGTAATACCTAATATGACCAAAGGGCGTAGAGGAGCCCAGATTGGCGACTACCTCGCTTGTCTTGGAAGTTTCACCAGTTTTCTATAGGTGGCTGACAATTAGAAATGCATCCCCTTTGGTGCATACGTATACATCACTTTCTTTTAAGTCTAAAAGCCTTCCTGTATTCTTTATCTACTCATATCAAACGATGGGGCGGTAGCTAGCACGTGCGGACCCACACCTCATATTCACTTCTGTTTGGCACCCGGTTAGTATCATTGGCCCTCAACAAATGCAGTTTAGAGCTGAGTAGCGCATAAATCTGTCCTTAGTAGATAAGTTACATCATTAAACCGTCCAATATATATTTAGTCTTCGTTAGTGATTTCATTATATGGCGCTTATTCCCTGTTTTCCTTTCGGTGTGAATGTTCTTGTTAGGTTTAAAGATCCTAATTACTGACTAATGTAGTTCGCTATTCGGTCAGAGCCTAGATGATTTATTGCGTCAGTTTAGTTTACTTAACTGCTAATAATTGCAAAATCATGTGTTCAGCTATGTTAGGAGTAAAAGTATTTACATAAGACACCCTTATCAACTGTCTGGACTGTTATTTCCTTTTAAATTAGAACCACGACAGTACAAACAGACAGTGAAACAATATGACTTGGAATCTCACGTTAAATTTATAGTGTTTCGTCGATGATATGAGTATACATTAAGAACATAAATCCAGTGTTTTCTATGTGATTAAACTGACTCAAATACAGTTTCTATCTTACATTACCAAGCGGTCCAAGAACGTGGAGAATTACTTTGGACTACGTATTGTATTGTGCATTATGTAGTCCTCCGTCCATTGAACAGACTTGTGTACTTCAATAAATCAATACATTGAGGAATAGCTTTCCAACAGTTAAAGGACATTCTTTTATCCTAATAGAGGTTACCTTAGACTGGGTCATTGACATTTAGCATGTGCTGTGTTTGTATGTTTAATAGCAGAGAATTTTATTAGTATCCAGCAAAAAAGCAACGTTTCGCTAACAAACCTGTATCAATAACTAATCATTAATACTTTTGTCGACTTTCAGATAAAAATAGTTGCTTGTGAAGGCAAGAATGCAAAACCAACTTCCTCAAAAATATCCGTATCCTCAGTCAGTGATCGTTCAAGGTTAGGTGCTGGTATAGGCGGCGAGGATAACGAACAACGCGAAGCTTTTGATTCTGGAGATGAGATGGAATAATGAATGACGGCTACTAGAGTGTAATTTATTAGGTGTGATATGAGAAATAACTTGTACAAATCATTCTAAGAATACATTTTTTTATCTAAGAAATTATTTCTGACAAACGTTCATAAAAAGAAATTTTGAAAACGTGATAATCTGTAGAAGTTTCTTCATTTTCTAATTAAATAATATAGATATGATTAAATATCACAAAATTTGTTAAGAATTAAACCTGATATGTAGTGGAAGCTGCTGAACCGCCATGACCTGTCCAGTCGACATGAATAAACGTGCCTGGATTATCAGTTTTTCAAACTGATGGGCTCCAAAATAGTCACGTTGAGCCTAAAAGTGAAAATGAGGATTATTTAATTCATGAAGCTTGTTTCAAAGAACTCCGCCTGTAGCTTTTCTAGAGTTACTGCCGGCCCCAAGCCCGGGTAAAGGAGGAGGGTTGAGTGTGGGGTCGGTAACCCCATCCCGTAGAAAAAATCTTTTAAAAAAACGCTAACCAGATTAAACAAATTCAACCATTTAAAATATGCCCTAGGAGTTGAAGGAAGAACTATGACGCCTCATGATGAAAGCCGAGATTCTTCGGAAGTCACGAGGCCGGTGCCCCTTCTAACAACCAGAGCAACAGTTTTCCTAGGTACATGGAACGCCCAGACAATGTTGGAGACCGGGAGGACCAGTCAAATAGCAACGGAAATGAGGAGATACAACTTGGTAGTACTCGGAATCAGCGAAACCCATTGGACCCAAGCTGGACAGAAAAGGCTAGATACGGGAGAGATGCTGCTGTACTCTGGCCAAGAAGAGGAAACTGCTCCACACACTCAGGGAGTTGCTTAGATGCTATCTAAAGAAGCACGTAATGCACTTATAGGATGGGAATCTCACGGACCCAGTATCATCAAAAGATCCGTCAAAACAAAGAAAAAGGGAATTACGACGAACGTTATCCAATGTTATGCACCCACCAATGATAGCAACGACGGCAATAAAGATCAGTTCTATGAGAGGCTGCAATCAATCAAAGCGAAGTGCCAAAGAAAGGATCTCACCATCCTGATGGGAGAATAAAACGCCGAGGTGGGGATATACAACACCGGATATGAAGATATAATGGGACAACATGGACTGGAAGAGAGAAACGAGGATGGGTAGAGATTTGTAAACCTATGTGCATTCAACAAATTAGTTATAGGCGGCACAATATTCCCACACAAAGCTACATGGGTCTCATCGGATTACACCACTGAGAACCAGATAGATCATATTTGAATCAGTAAAAAATTCAGGACAATGGAAGACGTGAAAACAAAGAGAGGAGCTGACATATCACCACCTAGTTGTGGTCAAGATGAAACTGAAGCTAAAGAAGGATTCGACAGCTGGACAAACAGCACTACAAAGGTTCAATACAGCCTTCCTTCGACATGCTGACAAACTCAACCCGCTCAAGATAGCTCTCAACAACAGATTCCAAGACTTACAAGATCATCTAAAGAAGAAAAAGTTAATATGGAGGACAAATGGAAATGGATCAAAAAAGCATTAACTTCAACGTGTCGGGAGGTGCTGGAATGCAAGAGGCATCATCATAAGGAATGGATCTCTATCGAAACCCTAGACAAGATTCAAGAAAGGAAGATCAAGAAGACAGCAATTAACAACAACCAAATGAGAACAGAGAAAGTCAAGGAACAAGCTTAATACACAGAAACAAACAAGCAAGTGGAGAAGAGCATTAGAGACGACAAGCGGAAATAAGAGAGGAAGACTTAGCAATGACAGTGGAAAAAGCTGCATGGGAAGGAAATATGAGACAGCTATAGGACACGACGAAACTAACAGGGAAATACCGTAAACCAGAGAGACCGGTCAAGGACAGAGAAGGCAAGACAATCACCGAGATTCGAGGACAGAAAGACAGATGGGTAGAATACTTTGAGGAACTCTTGAATAGTTTAGACCCATCGGACATCGAAGCAGCACACACAGACTTTCCTATAGATATCACTCCATCAACGATCGAATAAACCAGCATGGCTGGTCACCAGATAAATCAAGAATGGGAAAGCAGCACGACCTGACAATATAGAAACAACTGCAAACATGCTCCACGTTCTATTCAGGAACATTTGAGAGGAAGAACAAGTGCCACAGATAGACTGGAAAGACGGACATCTCATCAACATACCAAAGAAAGGAGATCTGAGCAAATGTGAAAACTGTAAAGAGATCACACTGCTGTCGGTACCAGCAAAAGTTTTCAACAGAGTGCCGCTGAACCGGATAAAAGATTCTGTAGACGTCCAGCATCGATATCAATAGGTTGGATTCCGCAAGTATCGATCGTGCACAGATGAAATCTCGATACTACGGATCATGATTGAACAACCAATTGAATGGGATTCGTCACCATACATCAAGTTCCTTGAATATAAGAAAGCATTTGACAGTGTGGATAGGAGAACGTTATGAAACCTTCTCCGACACTATGGCATATCTCGTCAACATCATCCGGAATTCATACAACGGACTACACTGCACTACATATTGGTCACATGCCATCAGTAATAGCTTACTGTGGGAGAGAACAAACCAGCTGAGGAAATTAGGAAAAGACATTGGAAGTGGTTGGGATACACATTGCGGAAATCATTGAACTACATCACGAGGCAAACACTAACTTGGAATCCTGAAGGAAAACGGAAAGGAGAAAGGTTAAGTAACATAATGCCTTAGGAATTGGAAACAGACACGAAAAGGATGAATAGCAACCGGAAAGGGTTGTCCATGAAAGAGTGGAATGGAGAATACTGGTGAACGGCCTATGCTCCTCCATGAGGCGTCATAGGCGTAAGTAAGTTGTTACAGAGGGTAAATTCATATTTGATGGACGATATAAAAAAAGTCAAACAGGATTCGAATCTTACTTGTATTAAATTAGAAGGTAAATGTGGACATTTTATTCCATCATAAAATGATAATGCAGAGCTGAATACAGGTGTAGGAATCGCGTTTAAAGCTCCATGAGAAACCACTCTACGCCATCCATCCTAAAAACCAAATCACAATAACAATATGAATAATAATTGCTAGAAGTGTGAATCAAGCAGATCAGAATAGCACGAGACATCACTGATCTGTTCTGCGTACTAACAAAACTGCAGCAAGTTCAAGCACAAAGCTTATTTATTTCGTTGAGATGATCATGGTCCAACAATAAACCTGTCTGAATCTGTGCGTCCAGAAAAATAAGGATGAATAGGAGGATTGCATAAACCTATGAAAATTGTAAGTTGGATTTCCTAATTGATAGAATAACTGGATATCGTCTTACGTTATCTCATAAGTCGAGAAACAAGAGCAAGGTTGTTATCACAATGTTACGATGATCAGTACCATCTTAATACACTATTTAGTTTGAAATCCTTATTGAGTTTTGGTTTGTCAACGGAATCACTGTTACACTCTCTCTTTCAAAAAAGCAGTAATTATTCACAATTTCGTCTATTATTTTTGGTACGTTTAAAAGGTTAAATAAGTTAAAGATGACACAAATGGACTGTATCATGATTCACTGCAAAAAGTAACTCGATCACGTATTTGTAGCTTAACTAAAATTACTTTAAGATGGAGTAGTTTAATAGTTCACCAAGTGAATTAACAACGACACAAAAAAGTTACATAACACTTAATATTCTGTAATTAAAATAAAAAATTATCACAATCGTTAACCAACCAATAAGTAGAGAATTATTTATTCGCACAACTTACTTCACATTGATCAATAACTTTTTTAAAGAATGGATCTAGAAGTAAATTACTCAGATTTGGATTTTTATCATAAGCTTCTTTTATATTTCCAAGGAATTTGCTAAACAGAAGTGAGAATGAAAATAATGATAACATACATAGACAACAAAAATATGTAACAGAGAACGCTATGGTTCACACTTCTGTATAACCTTATCAAAGTAATTGAAGTAAATCTCTGTGGATACAATGTAACGCAATAAACAAGCATAAATTAGTGTGCTTGACTACAATAGTCCAGGCTAAACTTGACTCATCCTGTCAAACTGGATCGAGGTAGACAGACGACGATTCGATATTGTGAAGTAGTCGATAAACAAATGGGTAGTTTGAATATTTCGGAATAAAACACGCTACAGGTATGTCAAAATAATGGCTACTGACCTGAACGATATGCAGCAGAAGTTTATACGTGAAGTATGTAAGCTGGTACATATCAGCGCTACGATACACAATACAGTATACCTGCCGTCTTCATACATAATTTTTTATATAAAAAATTTGAAATAAGTCAAAACTATTCTCATTATGCAACATCCTTTCTTAATAAAGGCGAAAAATCAAAGAGCGCTCTTATGAAGGTACTTCGTAACGATAAGACTGAAGGGAAGCAAACATTTTAACGCAGCAGAGAGCAACAATATTTACAAGAAAAGTACTAAAACCAAATAAACATGAAGTAGGGAATTATGTTTTCTGTCTCAGTTCTTAGAAAAACGACTGTTTAGAGAGTAGTCTTCAGTGGATGCTCTAACTTGTAATTGCTGATGGTGGTGTAATTATCAAGTGACGCGGAGTCATAACTAAGCTGAATGACCCAGGACCTCGGTGGAGTTTACTTAATATTTAGAGGGTGAAATAACAAACTAGAATTGTTGAGTTAGTTTTACGATATGCGGACCTGCGTCAACAAAGCTCATATGTGACCATGAAAGAATTAATACACATTCAGAGATTCAAAACAAGTTTTACTATTAAAGTATTCATGCTATGACCGACTTTCTGTAATGACCGGATCGTTTACCCACCAGTTAAACGGTCAAAGGTAACTGGTTCTGTAGTTCATCGATAACACTTGACTCATAAGCCGTGTTCAGACTAAGATTTGTAATAGCGCATGAATTTATTGGTAGCTGTAGACTAGGGGAGATTTTTTCAAGTAACTTAACCAATAACTATTGCAGGTGTTATTATCAAGGTTTGACTTGATAGTTTCAAGTTTTATTCTCTGAAGAAGTGGCTTGGACTGAGTGACGAAAGGTCAGTAGATTTAAAGATTTAATTTTTCTACTCATTGGGATGTTACAAATATATTATTTTTACTAACTAACCCCTAAGTCTAGTTTGTTCCACTTTGTTTGACCATTAAACCCTCATTTTTCCTTTATCTTATCCCTTCCAGTGGATTTATCTTGTCTTAATTTAATCTAATTATTATGTGTAGGGTCCACAACGAAGATACCTTGAGTTCTTTCATCTGGTCAGCGTATATACCTTCATATTATATATATATATATATATATATATATATATATATATATATATATATATATATATATATATAAAGCTGATAACACCAACCTGCGTATGATGCACCCACCACGCCACATAAGAGCTATCGCACCAAGATCCAGTTTCCAACCAAAGGCTTGATATGCCTGTTGCAACAGCATAAATCCTTGGGCATAAGAAACTATTTTTGATGCATACAGTGCCTATAATTTAAACAACGATAACAAGTAAGGTGCCAGTGAGAAAAAACGGGCAGTATCTTTGATTTACAGGAATTTAAATGTGTGACAAATGTTTCTATATTCTAGTTATACGATAAACTGAAGTTTCGAATTTACAGTTCTCATATACCTTGACGAAATACTATAGCCATCCTACTTCACTATAACTGTAGAAACAATTTTGAAATGTCCATACTTATTGATGTTTAACCTGACAGTGAAAGAAGCCCTCAAATAACTACCGAACAAAAGAGAGGCATCATTTATCCTGAGTTTAAAAAAGCCCCTTGTACAAAGCACAGAATCAAAGTTTAAGAAATTCCACTTGAACGGTTGTAACCATATGGATATTCAACCAATGAAAACAAAGCAGCAACTTACATTAAGAAAATATTGGTTTGTAAATTCATTTTATCTAGTTTAATAAGCGCAACTTAAACATAATTCTAGCTCCCAAAGTTTAGTGCATACATATGTTTACTTAATAATTGAGCTGTGCACTATTTCTATGTATTTTAATGATTTAATACTAATTAGTGGTAATTGGATATATTCACACTTTAAATTGCCTGGCGAAAATTATTGATTGTTTGTTCATTCGCAAAGACTGGATTATTTTTTCATGTCATGTGGTTATCAAATAAATAACACAATAAAAAGCAAATGCAAAAAGAAATAGCTCATCGATAAAAACAACAGCTCATCAAGCCTATTATAAGTGGACAAAAAATTGATATTGGCTCGATCCAAAAATGAAGGTGAAGGCTACAAAGAAAGTTATGATATGCACTAAAATTCAGTTAGTCAGTAACAACATGGAACTTCGTACGTACGTACATCAGCTTAGTTTACCTTCTTGAGGATTAAAGTCACTAGCCACTATTAATACATCAGAGCGCCTAGCTTTCCGGAGGTCGGGAAGCTTTCTGTAAAACTCATCCTTTACATCGTCTGAAATGCAGTCAGTGGGAGAGTAGGCAGAGATGACGAAGAGGCAACGACAAGTGTCCCTATTTTTCCGAGTCTTTACTGTTTCGTTTAGTCGGATAGCGAACAAACGACTGTCTACTGGGATCCACTCTAAGAGAGCTAGTTCTGCCCTAGGAATCAATGCTATACCTACGCCAGAGAGGCCACGGAAAGCAGCATCAGGGCTTCCAGATACACGAAGCGTAAATCGAGTTGGTTCCTTACTTTGACATGGTGATGTCAAATGAATGACGCTACCTGGATCCTGTATGTGCGTTTCGGAGACGCAGCACACATCAACGGTGCGAGATTCTAAAGTACCAGCTAGGGAAGCCTGTTGTCCTATTTGGCACAGTGTTCGGATGTTGAAAGCTCCTACGTGTAGTTTAGAGCGTGGTTTCAGGAGACCAGGAATAACGTCCCGCGTACTCGAATCGTTTGCCATAGCGGTGCGAGGTGATAAAGGGACGTGAGAAGGGTTAGTCGTGGAGATAAGAGATTTATTTGGAGATGTAGGAAGGATTTGAATGTGATCAACTTGGTCTCGTGTGTTGTTACGGGTGTGAGGGCTGATGTCACTTCCTGGCTGCCCACACTGTGGAAGGATATTTCTTGAGGAACCTGAAAAGGAAGTTGGATCAATGTTGGCCTTAAGGACCTGGGAGCGTGACCGCAGAGTCCAAGGGACAACTGTTTGAAGCCGGTCGCGCACGGCTTTTTTGTGGGAGGTTTTTGATGTGTTAGCTCCATTCTTCAAAGGGCCTTACCGCCGGAGACGGAAATCCGTGAGGTAAGGTGAGGTGTGACATTTTTAGGGTCGACCTTTTCTAACCCCCTTTTTCCTTGTGAGAAGGCAGCATCGTTGCAGATGCTGGTTGTCCGAGGGAAACATCTTACTGCTGTCACACCTCTCTACAGTCAGCAGTACGACTTCGCCCTCAGACCTTGAGTTGCTGCTCTTAGTCTTACCGTTCTCCAATCGACCTGCCTGGTATGGTAGAACCTACAGGAACATATGTTGCAGTCAATATAGGTCGGCTGGGTCATCACGATATGCAAGTCCGACCACCACGTCAAGGTAGCAGCTACAGTGGGGTTGCACCAAAAAAGTTTTTTAAAAAAAGTCTGATTTCGCTAATTGCTGTATTTTATTTGCACTGATTAACAGTTACCTTTGAATAAATTGAACTGGGTAGCACTAAATACTGATTAGTTAATAGCTTAGTATATAGTCACAATTTAAGATTAAACGGCTGTAACTAATTTATTGGGTTATGTATGACGATTTCTTTCTAACACTCATGAACTACTATTTAGGCAATCAGAATCATTTCACAATGTAAATGAAATCTCAAAACCCCATCTTCCAAAATTAGATAAGTAGGGTATGGATCTTACATGGAAGTACTTTTATCATTTTATGTCATTAAGACACTATGCAGAAAGAACTGAAGTTACAGGACCTTTGCCCTACTTTTTTATTTTGCTTTGTTATCACGCGCTGACATCGCGGGTTAAGCTGATGGGTATATTCATAAAACGGATTGAAGCAATTATAAGCTTTTGATCAGATTTCGACAGTGATATATGTATCTACATTTATTTATTTATTTTAACACATAGATATTGGTACAAGGAGGCACCAAATACATATACGCCACACAGATCACACTTGATATGTGTGAGGGCTGTGATAATACCCGGGTCCCCAAACCGAGGCAGGTGGTTTTCTTAGAGGGCCACACCCCGAGCCTTTGACCTAGAGGTCTGATCCACAAGGCAGTGGAGCATCGTGAGGAGATGCAGTCCCATGGTAGCCGGTGACCAACAATTGGTTCATACACCATTTGTTTCCGCAGGATACTGGAGCCCATGTGCACCATTGGTTTGGAATCTGGTAAAAGCGCCGGACATTCGCTTTTCGTCCTCTCAATTTCGTAAACAACACCCCGCCACGAGAAGGCAGTGAGTAGAACTTTCCTGGCAGAGGCTATATACGCGTGGCCATATGAGAGCATTTGGAGGAGAGAGGACTCTCCCCGCTCTCGGCTGTACCAGAGTATTTGGGGTATGTATTTACATAGCATTTGACCATTCTATATAATAATTGGTGCCTGTAGGATGGTTGATTTTTCATCACAGGAATAAGTATACATGAAAGCAGAGATTTCAGTCATGTCAAAAATGTTTGAACTACCAAAAGGATGTCGTTCATATGTAACATAAATTTGTAAGGCTTTTTCGGGAGCGTAGAAGTATGTTAACACAAAGATAATTATTAGATATGGTAATTAGCAGGAAATTCAAACGACCAACCGAAATGAATAAGCGAATATGAATAATTATTACTATTCTTCGTGAAGGTTATAAAAGTTAAGGCATTTTATCGATTTACAGGCAATCTAGAAAAAGTATCGGAACATGGCGAGTGACTAAGCACATGATAAGAAACAATGTTTTTCATTATCCTACAGCTGAAATGTTTATCATTGCTTTTAAATGATGAATCCAGTAATCTGATAACTTTCTACATTGAATATTCACATAAGCATCAATCGCACTTAGTTATTTGTCTTTTTAGGACCCAAATAACGGTGTTATTTTGGATAAGCAAGATGCATTTAAACTACATCTGGATACTAACTATTTGGTTAACCGCTCTTCATGAATCCTCAATAACCAACCCATCTTATTAAGTAAACGTTTATGCAATCGACTTTGAGTTATATTATGTGAAGGTTAATGATATTATGAGTGTCTAAACCGAGGTGTTTACATCGTAGTTCGAACTTGCGACCTATATGCTGAAAGCTAAGCGTGCTTATCATATAGTTAGTCATCACTTCTTGGTTATATGCCATTACTAACCATCTGTCTTCACCAGTACTTACATCTGTATGATTTCACTAAATTTATTATATGCCCCACAGCCAACAATTATCTTTACATGATGCCAACTCAAAACAGTTGTAATTTTGGAGGTAAACATTCCAGAAGGAAAAATAACCATATTATTGCATGGTACAAAATATTTTCCTCAAAGTAAAGCGATACATAATATGAATGAACTTACTTTCCAAATGTCATCAATAAGTTTCTTTGCAATTTCCGGGCTAGAACAACAAAATGGTTTGTCAGGTGTTGTATTTAACACACGACATGCTTCCGAACGAAGTGTTCTCATTGATGATAATTGACGGGAAAATACAGCCTCAGCTTTTTAAAAAAACGTCAGGATCAATAAATTTGAATAGTTATAGCGGTTGGTGATTCATCAAAAGTGATACAATTACAAATGTAAAGATCTTATCCACTAGATTGCTTTATTTAAAAGTCCTAAACAACTATTTTTTGTTTTCAGTCCTAGGGAACACAAATCTTACTTTGAACGCAATTCGCTATCTTAAATAGACTAGTAGTAGCTCCATGAAATAGTTAACACAGTAATTTACAATATCTATATATTTGATGGACATATAGTCTATATGAACTGATAAAAATATTTCTGAGTAGTACGGATAGGTAGACAATTATCCATAATGGTCCGCTAAATTTTCTCATAATCAGACCACTAGTTGTTTGTTAGCTATGAGGGGAGACATAGACCTTGAAATGAAAAATTATCTCAGTACGCTGAAATTGTATGGTTCTAAAAGAGCGGTTGCATATTCAAATTTACTAGCCCAATATGGACTGAATGAACTAAAATTTTCCTGCTTAGTCAAATTCATGGTCGAATCGACTTTTTCTGACTGCATTAAAATAGTTGCTTTTTATAATAGTACTATGGTTTTCGTAGAATATAATTTGATGTTGGAGAGTTTTGATTCTTATTCAATCTCCATGAGGAACAGTGTATGTAGTGAATATCAGTAGTATAATACTAACCAAATATAAAGTATGTTATGTACTACCAAAATAAAAGATCATCATATAAACAGACGGTAATATTTGAGTATGAGTCAATCTAGACTAAATACGTTACACACACGCAATATAAGAATAGGGATATTTCGGTGTTACTCTTCATAAATTGTCACTCTAACCTTTTATACAAACTATGACAAAAAGATTATGATGATGAAAAATGTTTGACAAAACACGTGAGCTAAACTAATTTTAGTTTTATGTAAACGTTTATAAGTGGCCTTAATCTGTATGAAAAATATAATGAACGCTTATTAAAAGAATTATTATTATTGAGTGTCATCCGATTTTTCAAGTAAGGCACTTTACAACAATGAATCTAGGAGTCATAATGGATAATAAACAGATTAAATGATTATCGTCAACATTTAAGTCGAAGCCTATAGTCTCCAAGTCAACTGATATTATATTTTTTTATCACAGTTATGGGTGAATAAGTAATGAAAGTGAATAGGTACTCGGTAATATATTTATTGGACCTAGGACGAATTTTCATTAGCTTAAGTTGCCACAGTTTTCATCAGCGCAGAAAGAAGATAGAAACCAAAGGGAAATCAAATTATTAGTAATATTAATGGTAGCAGGTATGAACACATGAATGAATGTAAAAGAAGAAATAACAAAATTCAAGATATAAAAAAAGAATGAATATATATGTGGTGCTTTGACTGATTGTGAACTATATTACTTAAAGTCTCTGATTAATTACCACGATTATCTAGTGAACGCCACTCTGGGAAATATGTATCTGTTGTTAACAAATTTCAGTCAAAGAGTTCATAATTCCGTTGAATGTTTTATTTTGATTTACTTCCAACTGTAACTTTTTTCTAATCTACTTCTGTGTTAAGTCATTATTGAATATTGAAAGTAGGGTATAAGTAAAGGCATCTATAGTTTGAAAGATATGCAGTTCAGTTTAATCATAACTTTACTGTAAATTAAATAAAACTAAAAACTATGAATATGAATAAATGGTAAAGCACATAAGATAGTTGAGAGGAAAAACAAAATTTTATCTTTAAAAAAAGGAGATATTTAAAGTTTATTAATTATGGTAGAATATATGAAGTATAATAGATACTAAAATTATAAATAGGTGATATAAAATAAATTCTACACCCGATTGGACGTAAATACTATTTAGCCCTGAGTAGTAAGAAATATAACATAGTACTATGGATAGGTAAGGCGTTTGACAATTAAAATAGATCACCTATTAATTAAGTCTATTTCGAAAAAAAATTATTTAGGTTTTTAATGTACTTTATAATTTTCAAAAAAATTTAATTACTATCTTTGCTGGACAGAGAACGCCTTAATTAAATATTATCACATGAGAAATCCTCATCATATTCGAAAACAGATAAATGAACAAAGTATAGTATGGGGATTTGTGGAGATTGCATTATTTTAATAGTTGATATCACGAGTCAATCTAAAACCACCAATGGAAACCTGGAAGCATTGGACGGCCGTTTCGTTCTGGTATGGGACTCCTCAGCAGTGCATATCCACGATCCCTCACGCGAAACAGTCATCCACCCCGGACAATGGATGAAGGGTTGTGCAAGACCCTGGATCTGTTGAAGTTAGACATTAACATCGATGAATGCCGGCACAGTGGTCTAGATTTTGAGCTTTCGCGCGCAAGATCAGAGGGCCTGAGTTCAAGTCCCAGCTGAAGCACCATGGATGCGCACTGCTGAGGAGTCCCATAGTAGGACTAAACGGCCAACCAGTGCCTCCAGGTTTTCAATGGCGGTCTAGCTTAGATCGAATCCTGAATTCGACCGTTAAAGAAGTCTTTTTAATAAATTCTCTTCAAGTTCTACAATTATGTATCCGGATTAAAAATCCAGAAGGTCGTCGGGTTTTGCTTACGAATTAGTAAATAGAGGTGGGTGATGAATAATTTCCTCCAAGGGTTTTCAAGCATTGTACTAATAATGACAACAATAGTGGTGATATCAATAATAATAATGATCATGATAAGATTTGATTAAGTTAAGCTATAAAAATGCAAAGAGGAAGGCTGTATCGACATTGATCGTGTTGCGTCACCATATTATCAAATTACAATCAACCAATTACGTCAGAAGTTGGCCAAGTTAAAGAAGAGACGGTTGAATATGTTTTTTTCTGAACACAGAGCTCCGGTTTTTTCATCCGAAAAGCTATTGCTTAAGCCATCTGAAGAATTCTAAGTCTGACGGATTTAGGCAGATTGCTGTTAACATGATATATTGCTGAACATGATTGCTTCATGTTGGCCATATGGCCCGTTTGTACTAAGTGGGCGAAAATCGAGTTGTAAATAGTCTTAACTATACCTTTGCTTAAATTGTTAATATGCTGTGCCAATGGACCATTTTCCAGCCTAGTGAGAAAAATGTCACCCTATATAGGATCTAGTGGTGAACCTATCGCGACACCATCCATTTGTCTAAATATTTCACCAGTGTACTTTAAGCGTACAGTCATAGAGCACTTTAGTAATAATTCCTTAACGATGTCCACAGGGATTGTAGTCTTTACTACTTGTCCCATAAGTTGTTCGCAGGTATATTCGACAGTCTCCCTGAAAGGGACATTTACAAGCAAAGATGTTACGTCTAAGGACATTATCGTTTGTCCTTCAGTGTTTGTTTTTAATCTTGTCCACGAACTGGAATACATCCTTAACACTGTGCTTGTGGAGTGGTTTCAAAATGGTTACCATCCCATGTCTATCTCACACAGACCTATATTATGTTGATATATGTAATTGAGTAGTAAAAACATCATAATTGGTTTGAAATCCCTAAAACTACATAGTCTGTATAGTGCAGTGGGATAAATTATCCTGAGAAAAACAAGCATTCATTGGTCATTAAATAATTATTAGGCCAGTAGACACTTATCAAGTTTGTAAACACAATCTAGTTCACATACTAGTTTCTAAACCAAACATATCTGCTTCGGGTGTAACAATAATAGTACAGAGATGAATTCAGAACCGCAAATGAATGGTTCATATTTTAGTAGTTAGAGTATTTAGCATTTGATGTTGATGTGCTCTTGAACAATTCTGATGGATATTTTACATGACGCAAACAAATGAAGAATTACCACTAATCGTATTGGTGCGCTAGTGATCTGACTTGCACAACACAGTCACCCTTGCTATACTATACGAATATGTCTTCAATATAACTTCCAACCAGACCCTTTCATGTTGTAAGCAGCTGACGAGGACCTACGAAATAAAAATGAATACATGCTATTCTGCTAGAATCTTTGTTCTTGCTTTTTTCAAAATGATAAAGGGAACTATATGTATGAAACAGTCACTTGTGTTTTATTAAATGAAATTTTCATCAAATTTGCTATGTCATTGGAACTTCAGTAATATAAATATGCACTTTACGAGAAAGAAGTACCACTGGTTACCTGATATTTGTGTTGTTTTTCAATACCAGCATGCTTTCATGGCTTACATCAACATTACAATCACATAGGCTAGTATCAGTCGATTACTGTGCATGATCAGGACTATATTCGTGAGTCCAATAAACAAAACGTGTTTCGTAATAATGCTAAAACATACCTCGTATAAAAACTCATACGACTAAAATCTTTATCATAATATATGGTCTCAAAGAGAATCTAATATTTCATAGCTATGAAAAAATATATATGACATATACGTGATTAGACACAATCCAAATCAGTGCAACAAATGTATTACTATAAAGAAACACAGTTTACTAGTGAAAAATAAACCCAACTAAATAAATAATATGGATTGAATTAGGAGTCAGTATACAAATTAAATAACTTACCGATCAGCGTCACAGGAACACCATGATCAAGTCCACAAATTGCAGTCCATTTACCAGTACCCTTCTGAAGATGAAAAATAAAGGAAACGAAACTTTTATAGCTTCCAAAGCTTACAGTTTACCTGAACCAATATACGCTTGAACCAGGTTGAATATTTCTCGTTATTTAGGAAGGACTCGGTATTCTAAGATAATATATGGTAGAAGTTCAAAAATCTAACTTCACTTGCTAGTACAATGTCATTGTGACTGAAGAAATACACACCACCGTGACTTTAGTATTCATATCAGTAGTAATATGTTTTGATTTTATTTGAACATATAAATATTGGTACAAGAGGGCACCAAATATATGTGCGCCACACAAAACAATGAGAATTCGAGGAGAGAAAAAAAGAAGGTAAGGAGCATAAAAAAGAACAATAACGAACAGATTAGTGTAAGGCAGTGTAATAGTAATAAAAATAATAATAGTAATAGTGGGGAAACGGAAAGGTACAATCGGAATAAATCTCTCAATTAAGGAAGAAACAACCACGTTTTATGAAGAAAGTAAAATAAGGTTACAACAGGATCGCCATAGGCTTCTATTCTGAGCCATATCTGATAACGTTTCTAGCCAATGTGTTGCACCATCTCTAGGACCCCAGCCAGAGAGTCGTGAAGGACCAACACAAGCCAGCCCTTTGCAGCTTTCTTTCATGCCACAACACCATGTCATACACTGAAAACCTCTCCGCTTTTTCCAACCAGTCCCAGAGTCGGCAAATAATGCACGACGTAGAATTCTCTGGGACGACATTCGTAGAACATATCCAAGCCACCGAAGTCGGTGTTTCAAGATGGTGACACCAATTGCATTATCATCTCGGTGTCCGAACACACGATGCCGAACCTCTGCATTACTAACATGGTGTTGACACTGGATGTCAGCAATCCTTCGGAGACAACGATGGTCAAACACAGAGAATCGTTTAACGTCCTCAACTCGGAGAGGCCAGGTTTCACAAACATAGAGCAAAACTGCTTTCACCGACGCGTTGTAGACCCAACCTTTTACAGCCAGACTAACATCACGAAGGCGCAAAAGGTGGCCCAGATTGACATAAGCCGCTTTGGCTTTCACTATTCGTGCATTGATCTCATCACTCACACCCCCACCAGCACTTATACAGCTACCTAGATACACGAACTTCTCGACTACTTCTATCTGCTCACCATTCAGAGTGAGTACATGATTAGAATCCATCCAGTCTTGAAGTACTTTGCATTTTGAAGGTGCAAAGCACATTATTTATTTATTATTTATTCAAACACATAAGCATTGGTACAAGGAGGCACCGAATAGATATGAGCCACATAAATCATCCGATTTGTGTGAGGAGTGTGATACTTCCCGGGTCCCCAAACCGAGGCAGGTGGTTTTCTTAGAGGGCCACACCCCGAGCCTTTGACCTAGAGGTCTGATCCACAAGGCAGTGGAGCATCGTGAGGAGATGCAGTCCCATGGTAGCCGGTGACCAACAATTGGTTCATACACCATTTGTTCCCGCAGGATACTGGAGCCCATGTGCACCATTGGTTTGGAATCTGGTTAAAGCGCCGGACATTCGCTTTTCGTCCTCTCAACTTCATAAACACCCCGCCACGAGAAGGCAGTGAGTAGGACTTCCCTGGTAGAGGCTGTATACGAGTGGCCATGTGAGAACATTTCGAGAGGGAGGGCGTGCCCACCCCACTCTCGGCCATACCAGGGCATTTGGGGGCGTATTATGTAGTGTATGTGAAATATCTTTTATAGATGAAATTCACTAATGTTGTAAAGGTTATTTAGTGTGAACATAGTCCTAAAGTCAATCTGCAATAATAAATTACATTTATGAAAGAAAGTAAACAATCTTGTTTTCATTTTGAAATAATTGGTCATATGATATTGGCTTTATAGGTCATTCACTACTCAACAGGATTAGGATCTCATTATCCTGTTTAAATGACTTTCACTAGACCATGAAATCAGGGAGATTTGGTCGTAGGATGTGTTACGTTATGAAGTTGCAAAGTGAGTAAGGATTCCGAACAATTTTAACAATATCCATAAGAAAATTGTTAAACTGCAAGAAGTCTATTGGAATTTTTTGTTACTTTTTTGTTTATCTTCATCTGATGTGATAACCTTGATGGTTCTTTGGGATAAATCTGGGACCAGAGAAATTTTTGAACCAAATGTATGTGGAAGATCAAAGTTAATACACTGATTTGGATATATCAGTTTACAGTAGATAGTCTAATTCAGAGTCCCACTTAAGTTTATTTCGATTAAACAATCAAATGGCAGCTCATTGTGTTCGTTTTCTTTCTCGTACGTAAATTTGGTATGAACTCAGAATAAACTTATCAATTTAGAAAACGTCCTTATAAATGTCTTTTCAATGATGATAAATATATCATCTACATATGTGAGTAAAATTCATGGTCTAATGGCATTGAGAAATACTATGCCATTTGGCACATTAATATTAAGTGCAAAAAATTTTCGAGTTTCATGTCTATTCCAAAGAGCCATCAAATTATCACATCAGATGGAGATAAACAGAAAGAACGGAAAAATTTAATAAGTTTCCCAATGAATATTATTAGAATTGAGTTAAAATCCTAGTGGGTTTATATTAGGTTACGGATATGGAGGATCTTAATAGTAACTTCATGTAAAAGAGTGAAGGTCTACTTGCCTAAAATTGACATTTATTTCTCAGTTGATGATGAGTTGGATGTACAACTTCTAAGAGTATCCAATATTATTAAAATCGAATACCAGAGAATACAATTCTACATGTAAGTGCAGATGTATTCTCTCTTTATATTCAGTTAGATGTTAATTTCCAGTATTCCTCCATATATACCTTTTCATTCCATCTTCTTGAACTATACGTTGAATGTTTAGACTTTTTCACTATCATAACTACTACAGTCATTTCGACTCCTTTACTGTTCATCGTGTAGATTTTATCTCAGCACTGTTTTACTCTAGTATGCCGACTTTGGATGACATACAATTGCGGTAGGGTGTATGTTGACTACGACTAAATGACTGTAGATTCATGTATAAGGGTGGGACGTACATTTTGACATGAAAATAAGTGATACTAATCGGTTGCTCAGACCGAAACAGATGAATTATGGTTCAATTTGATGATGCATAGAGAAGTGGTATAACAATAAAATTATCACCCAAAAGTATCAAAAAACTTAAGTACAAAAAAACCCAGAAAGGTCTCTTGTAACGAAAGAAAAGAATGTCATCAGTCACATACTTGTCCCGCAGCATCCAGTATCTGATCAATAAGGTATGAACCGTCAGGATTCCGGTAATTAAATATATGACTAGTTATTTCAATGAGGTAGGATTCCAGAGGACCTTCGTTCCATTCTTTGAAAACCTTTAGCAAAAATTTGAAAATACGAAGGATGTAATCAAGTGTTTGAAGGCTAATAAATATTGATATGCTGTCTTTAGTCTCGCCTGTATCGAGTGTAATGCCATCCATGTTTGGTTTGCTAAGTAAAAGACTTGATTTGTGGTTAGCACAGGGGTAATCTGGTAAAGGTTATAATTTATACTTAATAATAGTATCAGTAGATATAGGGATCAGTTTCCTACATCTATTGACAACCAATTACTTGGAGTCATGACAGGAACATATAAAAGTACTGTTACAATTCATTAGGTAATAATCAAACACGCACTTCCGATTACTGCTAGCATTTTCATCAATCACTCCTGCTGCGGTGTAAATTAAAAGGTAATGATAAATTGGTTGATGAAACTGTTAAAGTTTATCGACTAAGATTGTTGGAACATATTTTACACGCGACCAAAGATCATCTACTCTAGTGAGCAGAGATGTTGGAATAAAAATGAAAAAGGAAAGACGAAGATTCCAGACGATTCAACTATTAAACTGAGATATGTTAGGAAGTGTAGACCTCCTGGATAGATAAACTCAATCTACAGTTGGGAACTCTGATAATGCCAGGATTCAGTCGTAGTGTTCCAGATGCATACATCTTTACTTTTCACAACTAATAGTAACCTTATTTCAGCATTTTACTATTCATCATAAATTCTTATCCCCAAGCTTACATGAAACATGGTGATTTGGAATAATGAGGATCCGTGTACAATATACAAGAATTAATACTAATAGTAAGGTGAGGAAAAGATAAGGATAAGAAGTGTGAAAGTTGGAAGGGGTGTTTAATAATTAATAACCCAAACGAAAGACAATATACTTAAGTACTTAGAACAAGAAGCAGTAAGACACTTACTTGTGCTATTCCATCATTTTGAAAATGGCCCAAATACCGTAACAAATGGTATGCTTCTGCTATCAACTGCATGTCAGCATATTCAATCCCATTATGGACCATTTTTACATAATGTCCAGAACCAGCAGGTCCTGTCTAAAAAATAAAATGAACGAAACTCACCATAAAGGTAGACTAACGTCTGATCTCAGGGTATTAAGTAGAAATAGAAAATAATATACGGTAATCTACATCCAAAAAGTAAAGTAGAAATCAATTTCAAGAGTCTAGGATAATAGACTGGTGAATAAACTACTTGGTCACATAATTCCATTTCTATTATTATCATTACTATTAAACGAAACTAACAAAATATTACTTGTTTTTAGACGACATTCAATAGAACAGAATACAAAACAAATGACAATGGAAAGAAAAACGAATCATCAAATTTAGTCTATAGTCTAATTATAAACACACTATTATAAAGCGCAGAATACATTTAAATGAACCTACCCAGTCACAGCAAGGTTCGCCAGACTTGGCTTTAGCTGCGATTGCCTGAAATATTGGTTTGATGTGAGGCCTGAAAAATTATGATGCACAGGTAAAAACACCATGACGAAAACGTACAAAAGAGACAGAAACGACATGATACTTGCAACACCGAAACATAGTAAAAAATTTTCTTATGGGAAAAATCGAATATATTTCTGTATAAGCCAATATTAAAGCAGAAAGCCCTTATAACTAGTACTCATATTCTTTAATGCTGTTCAGTGGATTTAGTTTGTGCAACCTTCGACTACGTGTCGCATAGTGAGAGTAATATGAAACTACACTTCTCGAATGTTAAGTGGAACAAGTTCACAAAAAGTAGTCTGTATAGAAGTGGATCTTATTCCATTGATAGATAATTCGCTTGACCATCTCTTGACTGTCGCAAAGTAAAATGAGTTGACCTCGTGTGTGTAAAAAAATTACAATTTTAAATTTTTCAATCATGATTTTTAAGCCGTTTAAATTTTTCTTAAAGAAACAATTAGTGCTTTGAAAGTATCCATGTCCGGACGAAAACGAAGCCTAACCATAGAAAGCGTCAACTAAGCCTTAAACACAAAGATATATAATAATGTCTTTGGTACAACTAGCATAGACTGCTGCATCCACTAGGCTTCGATTCATTGGAGTGAGCGACCTAGAAAATTAATATTGTCCAAACCTTTACAGCATCTAACCACATTTATTTTTGTCAATACTTTTTACATAAGCATTTTAATTTATCAGATAAAAAACCTACTATTCTAGCTAGAGGCCTTATCTGTTATCTCAGTTTGGGTTCGAGTCAACAGGCCGATCTCGTAAGTAATCACTCAATCACATTGTATCCTTGCATGTAACCAACTTCTTAGCAATTTATTGATTCGTTTTGGCATTTCAAAAAGGTCTCACTTAAACTCCATGACAGTCAATAACACATACTTATCTCAATACGAAATATTTCATAGGGATCCTCATTGGATTATTCCGGGGTCTGCAAGTTTCCGAGAAATTATTTTGCCACCTGATGATGCAAGAAAGTAGCTTACTTAGTGATGTCGATCCCAAACAAATAGGCTCAAATATCTGTAATATATCATAATAGATCAATTATTTATTAGGTCGCGCAAAATTAGATTCCTCTTGATAATAAGATTAGTTACAAAACGTCCGTAGAATGTGTCAATTTTACCAATTAGGTACTTTTTCAAGTACTATTACTTGTATGCCCAAACCAAACTAGGTGATAATTGGTTGCAAGCCAAGTAATTTAACCACTGGACAGAGAATGGTGCATATGCGGGCGGATCACATCCTTATTTGCCTGATATATGTAGATATATAAACCAAGTGAATATATTTCTAGGAATTTAGAAAACAAGTTTAGGCGGTTGGGGAATCATAACGGTATTCAGGCACTAATACGATTGCCTAAGCGTTCTCAGATCCACAGTAACTACAAGATTTATTAGTAGCCAGCAAGTTGTACGAACTGAAAGACTAATAATAGGGAACAGAAAGACACCGATTGATAATGACATGGAAGCAACTTACCAAGCTTCAGGGTTACCGCCAGGCATAAGACTTGGTCCATGTCTAGCACCCTCTTCTCCACCACTTACACCCGTGCCAACATAAAGGATCCCCTGCTTAGCTAACTCAGAACAACGTCTGTCAGTATCCATATACTCAGAATTCCCTCCATCGATTATGATGTCACCTTTCTCAAGTAAAGGTACCTAAGACAGAACAACAAATACACAATAAAATACATCGCAAAATTTTCGGATGTAAAATGGTACTTTGAATTGCTAAGAAAAATTTTATCACGCCAAATGTCTCATAAAAAACGCTGGACATCAGGAAATCTTTCTCATTATTAATCGACTAGCTCTTACTATGAATATACACATACTGATTTAAAATATGGGTTTTATCTTAGTTTGTTTCGTCCCACATCGTTAAATACTAGTATATATTCAACAGAGGTAAATCTCCACTACAAGCACTAACACGAACTTTGTTTTGTATGAACAGAGTGAAGCTGCCAGTCCAATAAGTAGAAAATTGGGACTTCGAACAAGCTTATATCGGTTTAGGTTGTCATGTTTGGAATCAGAAAAGATGATCAAAGTAAAAACCAAGGGACTAAGATAATAGCTCCAGTAATTTAAAACTAGGAGAAAACGCCCAAGGACACTTAAAAGTAAGATAATATCATATTAATGACTAGAAACAATATGTAGTATGGCTGTCTCGAATACAGACTGTAACCTGCCTTCCAACATCTAGGAACTGATTAGAACCAATCACTTGAGAAGCAGAAAAACCAATGGTTCACTTTAAGCAGGAGGAAACAGAAGTCAATCTTTATATTTAGTGTAAAACGTGCACAATCCAACATCTCCAAAAGTCAGTTACAATGATAACGAACGACTAGATGCCGCACAACACTCGTGACAGTAGAACACAGATCGAAAAGAATATATTGACCAGACTAGGTACATAAGGCCATGCAAAATGGAATAAAAACAGGAAGCTTGTGCTAGACCTTGGACAAATATGAACTTACTAGTTTCGAAATAAAGTCATCAACTGCTTGACCAGCTTTAACCAGAAGCATGGCTTTCCTCGGACGCTTTAAACTTTGCACAAACTCTTCTAATGACATTGTTCCAATGATATTTGTTCCCTTAGCTTCATTTTCAATAAATTCTTTAACTTTGGAAACAGTTCGATTATAGACTGAGACCTAAGGGGTAAACTGTGGGTAGAGGAATCTATATTTACCGTAAATCCATGGTCGTTCATGTTAAGGACCAGATTCTGACCCATTACTGCCAGACCAATCATGCCAATATCAGCCCGAGCCATCGTCAAAAGGATTAGGCTGAGAACTAAGTAGCCCGCCAACACAAATTCGACCGAAAAGAGTGAACGTTTTAACAAAATTGATGAGCTAAAACAATATGATGAGCAACGCACAACTAAATAATTCCTTAAAATAATGAAGGTCAAGATAATTGCAAACATTATAAAACTCTTTTCAGATGAGAGTCCAGTATTAGTTGTGATTTATTAGGAAGAATAACAAGGCACTTCCATGTCTCATAATCTCAACCAATACCGCACAAGCTGAAGAATAAATTCTCCCCAATAGAAATAGCAGCTCCCAGCATTTGTTTCAAGTATTTTAGCTCTTTCTCTTCTCTGGGCTCGGTATACAAATATGACTTCTTAAGCCCATATATTTGATACGACGGATTTTTCTAAGTATTTTTGAGTAACCACTGGGAGCAATGTCATATTGTTGAGAAATAAAAGGAAATGAAATGGAAGTTATTATCAGGAATGATATATATGATGAATAATGAGCGTAAAACTACCATGCTGCATATCTGTTTAGCAGGAAAAGCATCTCAACAACTCGGTGCCACTCAGTAACGGCTGTTACCAGCCCTATGGTCTTGATATGTTTGTCGTTGAAAAGTAAAACTGTTTACTACAATGGTAGATAGTTGCTGAACTGGTCATCTTTACAAGTCATGTGTCGCTGTAATTTACTGGCTATTTAGTGGGGCTGCAATTGTTACATTGAAGTGCTCTTATATACTGTACAACAAATCAAATTTCAATTACTGCCTGCAGTAACTTGTTATGTAATGAACAGGAACTCAGGTGAGGGAAACCAATTTGTTTTTCATGCAGAATTACAGTATCCTGACGAAATATAGAAGCCATACATAATTTGCACATCTTCCTTACCTGTTTGCCTTCCTGTTTTTATCAATTCAACCACGTGTTAACAGGCATTTCACTTCTGGTTGGTGCCACATACTTCATACATCTCCCGCCTTAAGTAGAATACACCACATTAGTATCTGATGGGAATTCATCGTTTTACATTGGTGTATACCACGGTCTAGGTAACAGTTTTCCGGTAGACATTATTAGTGCTATTATGTACAAGTACCACCGCGTAACGATGATAATTATTTTATGAGATCTTGATGAGTATGGTTAAAAACAGTATTAAGGGTGGAAAATGGTCTAATCAGACTTTGTATTTATCCAACATTCATAAACACTATAATTAGCTTCGTAGTAACTCCAGCATGTATATGTAACAAACTCAATAACGTGACCTATCCTTCATGCAGACATCATTTACTCGATGATCTTTTCTCAAGCCAGACGACTGAGTCGACAAAAAACAATGGTTTACCAATAATGCATAATTTTCACCATGATCACAGATGGCAAATGTATTGAAAATGACTCCGAATAGCAACGTTCCTGTATACATATTTAAACAACCAACAGAATCTAATCGCAACATAATTGAATCAATACAGCTAGACTGAAGAAATAATTTATAATGATCAGTAGCATTCGAATTAATGTACTAAGAGTTTACTAAATAGTGCGATTTCGAGGAGGTACAATCGGATGAGCACAAATGAATGTATTCTATTCTCAATTCGTAATCAAGGCAAAATCAGTGTACAAAGGAATCATCAGTCGGTACAAATACCACAACCGCCATAGTTTAAGTCCGAATCCAAATTTCTGTAACCAATTGTACGTTTTTCTACTTACGTTCATCATGTTTCTGTCTGACTGTGTTTTGGACGAGCCAATCAAAGGCGTCCCAGAGACTTCACAGTTACGGCGCTAATTTCAGTGCTAACGTAAGTCCGATTCGTAGGGAATTTTGTGCAAAACGTTATAATCGAGCGCCTATAACAAATAAAACGGCTGGACTATAATTTGTGGACGAATCAATCAGGTATAAGATAATAGATCTGGAATTTTAACGCGAAAGCCTTTCATCCATTTGGTTGAATAGAGTTTTGGTATTACAGTTGATGTCAGTTCGTGATGGAAACTCTATATGTAATTCACAACTAACGCAAATCATGACAATTATTGCTAACTGGATAATAAAAGCACCGGTAACACTGGCTGCAGCCATGTACTACAATATATACGGATGATTGGAGAGCTTATCGACTCCTACATAGACTTGGTTATGTGTATCCTGTCGTTATCCACAAGTGGTATTTTATGTGCTCAACAACCGGAGTGCACATAAGCAATATTGAGGTTATGTGGTCGAGGCTGAAAGAGTTCTTGAGACTTTATCATGGCTCCAGAGTCCGACTGTTCTGTAGCTGCATGGATGATTTCCTCTGCTGCATGGATTATGATTTTGGAACCGCTGAACCTCTTTCTAACCTTGACAGGGTTTCGAACCACATGCAAGAAGTTCATCCTTTTTATTCCCTTTCTTTTGTATAACATATTTTTACTCTACACTTACTGTTTGCTGCTTGGCCAATATTTCTTAAGGTCACTTAAGGTTCGTTGAAAGGTCGTCCATAAACTAGAGTCTCGCCCTGTGTACTGTATGTAGACTCTGCATGTTCTAGAATTTACTTATTAGTATCATAATTAACAACCGAAATTAGAACGAACTCACCTGGTTCCTGGGTCCGTATTTGACCAACTTGTCGGTTGTATGTACTGGAATCATTAATTTCCAAAATTTGAACCATATATTTCCCAACATTCTTCACCACAATACACGCGGCTGGACGGAGATCATCTACACAATAATATGTAATATATTCAAACTCTAAACACCCATATTCGAACGAACAATCCTTCATTTTAGTAACATTAATGAAGTCTCTTTTGGTACAGAATGTTTGGCATTTCTATATTGCAGTACAAATGTGTCTACTCCCCTCTCCAGTTCATCAAAATGTTAAAGTAGCAGTTGAATTAATAACAGTCTTTAGTGTTACGAAAAGTTGTTCGCCCAGCCATTAGAACAAGAGTGACTGGGAGTAGTGAATAGATGTCTGCACCTTATACATTCAACTAGGTAGTCACTGTGTCTGCAGCAAAATGAGAGCCATTATCAGTCACTAGTACTATAGGAACCCACTCCAGACTAAGGGCGTTTCTTAATGCTTGTATTGTGAAGTCAGACTCTGGCGAAGTTGCGAAAGAAATACAAACAATTTGTAAAGAGAATTAGGGATAACTAGTACATAGTATTTACCGAGAAATGGACCACAACAGTTCACATGAACTTTCTTTCAGATTCCAGACGATAACAGCCATGGAGTCCACTTCGAAGGATGAATTATAGACTTAAGATATCTTCCACAATTGTTTGCTGTACGAAATATATCTATATTCATCGTCAGTTGTCAACATGTGGGCCTTACCAAGGATTTCATTTTCTAGACACGCAGATGTCCACAATAGCGATCTCCGAGTACAGATTTACGTTATGAAGGAGGAATAACAACACGATCATTTCTACACAAAAATACCATCAGGAGTGGTAGGTGACTCATCCCGCCTCGAAAAAGTCAGAAAATTTACTTTTCAGGCTAGTATTTCAACCTTTTCGTATAGCACTGAGTATATATTCAAGTTATCAACGAGTTCCTCTAATGAGATCTGAACTGCTTAGCTGCAAAGGTTTCACTAACAAACAGTCTGAAGTATCAACAGGTCTATCTTGTAATGACAACATGTTGAATGTTGAACCATGGAGGCTGAGGAACATTCTAAGGACGTTTTGGGATGATAAATGAACTTTAAAGCTTCACGATCAGTAACAATGGTGATTTTCTTTCCAAATGAATATCATTCAAATATTTTGACGGCCCAAAACACAGACAATGCTTCTCACTGAGTATGTGAATAACCCTGTTCTGCATTAGTCCGTATGCGTGAAACATAGAATACTGATCTACCTGTTCTAAAACTGCATTAATACTCATAGGTGATGCATCAGTAGTAAGTAAAGAATGTACACTGGGTGAGTAAGTTCGAAGAACAGTATCACTTCGAGGAAGCATTAGTCGATCTCATAAACATGAGTCTTGTTCCTTACCCTATTTAAATGAATTGGATGTCAAGACTTAAAATAAATAATTAGCACGACAAGAAACGTAAGGGAAGAAAAGGGAATATAATTTAAGAGCACCCACTACTGATTGTAACTCCGTAAGATTTTTCAGAGATGACGCATTTGTCAAAGAGGCTAGTCGCTTCATGTTTACTTTGAAACCACTACCGTCAACTGGGTACCGAAGGCATTCTAGACTAGATACACTTTTTTAGAATCATAAGTATTGAGACCATCTTGATAAAATTCAACACCTTTAGGATCACCAGTTACATTATTCATCACTTCCTGAAATATGTTTTTAGGGCGACTTGAACCGAACGGAGTCAACGAAGTCTACTCTCGAGAATACCTTGAAACCAATCTTCTGCAAACGGGAGTTCAGTGTTGACCTATAATTACCGCATATTCTTGAGGTCTTGACATCAGACATCAAGGGCGGAGCCATAGAAGTACACCGCACTGATTATACGTTTCGTACACAGTGTCAAATAACCTATGTACTGCTACTCGAAAACCACAAAGAATAAGTCTTTCAAGAGAGAGAGAATCATCCCTTACTTGAAGTTTTATAGGCTGAGTTCTCGTCTCTCCACTGCATTCACCACATCCAGCTATCAAATCCTTAAGAAAAGGATAAGAACGTTCTCTAGAATCTAATAAAGACAAGGCAATTTCAAGGTTGGGCGATACTGAGAATGTAGTTGATCATGACGAATGAGCAAAACGTTAAAAAATCTCACTGATTTGAAATCAAACCCATTAACTGCGTCGTAGTTAGTACATTCTGTTTTAATTCCTTGAAATGAACTTTTTGGGTTTCTGGATTAATTCTCTTTGTAAATTCGGAGTATATATCCGAGCAGTCAACCAATCGCGAAGTTGAGTTTCTAATGTATCTCCAAAATTCGTCTTCGCAGCCTGTTTCTGTAGTTCACGTATAAAGTGCTTGATTTTGTGATCACTTTGCCGCATAATGTTATGAAACTTTGACCTTTCCCCGT